CAATTTAAAAGTACTTAGAAAATGTGCTGCACAATTTAGAAAGACAGTTTAACTTATTTTTAAAGAACACAAACATTTCTTCAATGTGGGAGGCAAAATAATACCTCTCGTAAAAGATAACCACATCCTAATCTCTAAAACCTATGAATATGTTACATTGACTAGCAAGGAAAAATTAAGTTGTAGATGGAATTATACTGCTAAGCAGCTGATCTTGAGATGGTGAAATGACTCTGGATTACTCAATGGGCTCGATAGTCACAAAAAAAGAAGAAAAAGAGGGAGGGATAAGAGAAAGAACCGGAGAGATCCAAAAAGAGAACTCAGCCCAACAGTCTAGCTTTGAAGATGGAGGAAGCAGGAAAAGACAAGAACAGATTCTCCTGAGACCCTATAGAAGGAATGCTTCTCTGCCGTTAGTTCAGTGATAACCACATCAGATTTCTAACCTTCAGAACTGTAAAATAATAAATGTGTATAGATTTGTCACAGCAGCAATGGAAAATTAATACAACTGACTTTGGCACAATATATGTAAACTCCTAATCTTATCTTAGTCACTAAAACAAGGTAATAGACTCTCAAGTATCCAAGTAAAATTAAAACCACATTTTTCCCACAAAGCAAAAACTGACTTGGTTGTCTACTATTTCAAATAACCATATTCATTCCCAGGTAACCTAATCAGTGAAGTTTTATAAAATTAGAACTGAATTAAACATGGATATAACCCATTTAGCACAGTGTTATATTAGTCCAGTCAGCTTCTTTCTACACTTGCATAGAGGAGTTAACTGATACACCCTTTCCTAAGAATTTCTTCCATTAATCTTTATGTGTAAATTATCTAATCATGATAGTCTGTCATAAGCTATTCCTGTAGAAGCTTCTTTCATCCATTTTTAAATGTTCCATACTAGTGATTATTTCTCTTTCAACACTATCAAGGTCCTACTGTGATGGCAAATGACAACTGGTTACATTGAGTGAAAATTTAAGTTTTAGGAGAAAAATCACCTGAAAAAGTATTTGTGAATTGAAAAAAAAGGGGCAATCCTCTTTAAAACTTAATATTAATTACATTATTTAAATATCAGAATGTATGTCCCTTTATCAAGGACAGTAAAAATAATTAGGTCCTAGGCTAGTTTGGACAACCTCTTCAATGTATTAAGTATATGAAATATAATTATTATTTATGTACATGAAGTCTTTCACATTTAGTTGGTACCTGCAAGACACTCTTGATATGCATTGGAAAACCATATACAAATGAATGAAAATTCCTGCCTTCTAGAATTTGCAATCCAGAGGAGACTAATAATTATACCACTGCTGGATAATACAAAATCTAGAAAAACTGTGGGGCAAAGACAGCATGTTCAGTTTTCCTGGCGGTACTGGAAGACATGTGGCAGAAAAAGGAATAGGTGTGTAAAATAGGAAAAGAATGGCTATTTTTATTACAATTACCTCTACACATGATGGGAAGGACTAAGCAGTGGTTTCCCTTCTGGAAGAGTTTAAACATTCTTGGTGCTGAGCAAACTGCTATCTGTATCTGTTAAAGATACCACCGGGCATGGTGGTGCACACCTGTAATCCCAATACTCAGGAGGCTGAGGCAGGGAGATCACAACTTTGAGGCCAGCTTGGATTGCACAGTGAGTTCAAGGTCAGCCTGAACTACATAGTAAGACCCTGTCTCTCACACACACAAAAATGACTCTCTTTACTGCCTTTCTAAACCCAGCCAAGTCAGTTCCTAAACATCTTGAATTAGGAAATACAGCATTTGTTAGAGGTATTGAGTTCAGGAAGTCCTGGGTTTGAATCTACTTTAAAATTGACAATGTATGTATACTGACAATTTACTCAGCCTGGCAGGCTGTTTCCTTGTTTATAAAAGCCATCCATATACTCATCTTTTAAGTTGATAATAAAGATCAGAGATGATTTATATAAAGCAATACCATGAGAGATCAAGGATGGAATTCTGAACTTGACCTTTTTACTTTTAAAATAAAGTTTAAAAGGAAACAAATATCTGATGGTAAACCTGATTGGCAGACTATTATCAAAGACCTTAAGTAGAGTGACTTCACTTTATTTGATGGATCAACAATTCATGAATGAATCTTTGAAAACTGATTATAAACATTAAAAGCATAAAGTCTATTAACTTTTTGTTGTTCAAAAATAAAGAAAATGCAATAAACTAATTAGGCTCTTTTAAGGTTAGCTAAAGTGGAAATTACTCTAACATTACTAAAATTTCACTTTTATATCTGTATTTTCTCTAAGGTACATGTGTTACTAATTTTATATTAGCATCAAATACATATTTTTAAATTTTATGTATATATATTTGAAAAGTTGAAAAATTTTACTGAGATTTAAATTTTATATTTACATAAAGATAGAGAGAAGGAAAGATGAAAAGGAAAGAAAGTCAAAAAGGAAAAAAGGAATGATCGCTCTTCTATAAGGATATGTCATTCCCAAACATGAATAAAAAAAAAAAATTCCCTCCAATTTTATGGAATCATCCTGTTCAATGTGGTACCAGAGAAATCCAGGAGATGGCACTCATATTTTTGAAAATATAGTTTTGAAAGAAATTGGGATTCCTTAAATTTTGTACCATTTCAGATCAGAAAGACTGAATAAAACCATACAAGCAAAGAGATTTCAAAACTTTCTATTGCTATGCAGAACTAATGTTTTTAAGGTACTCTAATGCACATTCATAGCTTGTAAGCAGCTTACAATTTTCACTTTCTATTCTAGCATCTGGTAGAAAGTAAGCTTTCATAATCATTATCTGCCAATCAACAGCTTGATAATAGAGAGCTATAAGTGACCACTGAGAGACCCACAAACTTTTTCCATGATGGAATGTGGTATCATTATTTTCTTCTACTTTATTTCTAAAGCTTTTATTGTTTGTTTTGCATAGATAGTTTTTGCAAAAATTATCACTAACATTTTTTCACCTAGGTAAACAGAGAGTCAGAAAGAGTAAGAAATGAGAGGGTGAAGTAATTCAAACAAGAAAGATAAGCAAGGATAAAAGAATCCAGTTTCTTTAAAGAACTGATCATTTATACTTAACTTCTTAATTAATATATATGAGCTAAAGAACAATTCAAACCATGTTTCAACACATATTTATTGAAAACTTTTTATATGCCAGGCAGACACTGTTCCAGGTGCTAAGAGAAAGTAGAATGCAAGACAACATCCTCAATCTCATGGAAATTATCTTTTAGTGGTAGTTAAAAGAAAAAAAGAAATTATAGAAAGCACGAAGAGAAACTAAAGTGTATGATAGTGTGACTGAGTGACTATGTTACTTGGCTGTTTAAAGGAAGGCTTCTTTGAGCTGACACTTGACTGACAGAAGCAGACAGCCATGCATAGAACAGAAGAAGGGACCCTCCAGCTAGAAGGAGCACAACTTGTGAAACATTGCTAAGGCTACAATAAGTTAGGCCAATTCAGGGAGCAAAAAGAAGTCTCATGTGGCCAGAGAGGAATGTGCAAGGACAGTGCTATAACATGAGTTGAGAGGTATCAGAAGCCAGGATGGATGGCTAAGTGAATGAAAGGAGATAGGAAGAACAAAATGGGAAAAGAAAGAAATGGGCAAGAGTGTTAAATTCAGCTTAGAGATTATTTTTACATGTTGATCTTTCTGGAAGTTTTCTATTAGCCCATATTCCTGCTTTAATGTATACTAAAGAATGAATATAACTATTATTTTATATTTGCAGAAATTGCCAAACCTCCGTTTTCTTTTCTGTTTTTGTACTAGGGATTGAACCCAGGGGTACTCTACCACTGAGTTACATCCCAGTCTTTTTATTTTTTATTTATATTGAGACAGGGGAGGGACTCAAACGTGGCAATTCTCTTTCCTCAGCTTCCCTCCATGCTGGGATTGCAGACATGCACCACTGCACCCAGCTGTTATCATTTTACATATCAAAGACCATAGAAGACAACTGGAAAAAATACATTTGTATATAATACAGTGAGATGAATAGGCAGTACTTTTAAGAGATAACTAGAATGTGGATTTTCAATAACATTTGATTTGAATCTGTTTTGCATTGATTTACTTCTTCTATAGGAGTATAGAAAGATATTCTTATTTAATTAATGATTTATATTTGCTGATTCTGATTAATCAGTGTTTTCTGGTACCAAGTGTATGAATTAATGATTTCAATAATTTTTGAATATCTCTTATCTTCTAATACTAACTTGTGTAAATTTTCTAACAAACAAATTGTCAAAGCAAAGTATTTTAAGGTATGTTAGAACTGAAGTACAAGCAATTAAACCTTAGAGGCTCACTGTGTTGTGATCTCACACAAACTAAATCATCCATCAACATCTCAGTTCTTCCTACAAAAGGTGAGATATATGCTTGATCTCCACCTAGAATCTCAAAAAAGAGCTTTGATTTTATCCGGTAAAAACATTTAAAAAAAAAATAAAACCTCAGCATTTTACAAATTTTGATTGACACTAGATTTTACAGTTGACATTACACTGATCCTATGACTACCCCCATGTCATCCAAACCCAATCAGGAGTGTTTCTTTCTTTTTTTTTTTTTTTGTGCCAGAGATCGAACTCGGGACCTTACGCTTGCGAGGCAGGCGCCAGAACCACTGAGCTAAATCCCCGGGCCAATCAGGAGTGTTTCTAACATCCACAAAAACTATGTCAGCAACCATACTCTTTAATGGTGGTTTGATACCGTGAATACTTTCAGTTGTCACAAAGACATATCCAGAAATATTCATTAGTAACTGTATTTGCATTTATGAAATGTAGATTAAGAGGGTGTTATTTTAACAAAATTTTATTTATCAGGTCATTAGAATGACAATGTATTACAAGTCTGAAAATAATTAATTTAGAATCATTAGAGTACGGTAGGTCTTATGATAGTAAGAACAAAAATAATTTTCTCCTACTCTGTGGGCCTGGTTTGAAACAGCGACTTATGTCAGTCATTGGTATTAATTTCCCATTTTACTCCTTATTTTCCTAGACATCTGAATTCTGGCACTGTTGATTTCATGAAGACCTTTTAAAGATAAATTTGGTATATACCAAGGACAGTTGGTTAAGTAAACATTCAATTCTAACAGTTTTGCTCTTGATACTTTTCATAGCAGCAGCTGGGATAGAATTTTACCATCAGTCATGGCTTTCTGTTACACTCTTTTTTCCTCCAAAAAACAAAAGTATGTTCTTACAACACACAATACTCTGCACACTTTCCTCACATTTAATAAATGTGACCCTCTATAAATGAACAAAAAATTTTTGATTCTTACATCATTTCCTTCATATAGTATTAATTAACATTGTCTCAATGCTATTTTTTGTCATGCTAGTAAATCAAATAAGAAAATAAAGCTTATTTGTTGGTATGATGAGGTGACCATTAGACCAAGAAAACACTTAAGTTACCTTGAAAATATAATGTTTAGAAAGCATAAATGCAGTTAACTATACATTTCTATCTCAAAAATTTCAAAGGTAATTTCATCCTTCCCATTCCTACCATACACACAGACACACACACACACACAAAGACACACACACACACAGACACACACACACTATCTTAAGATAAAAGGGGCACAAAATTTAAGACTTAATCTCTGCTTCAGGCTAATGACAAAGAATATTTTTCACTTTTTGTTCACATCCTGAAGAAATTCCCTTGACAGAAAATGTTCTGAACTAGACTCTGAGAGGCAAACGTATTTGGTTCACTTAAGTTTTGCAGGATGACAAAGGAGAGAAGATGGGTCAAAAAAGAAATGTAAAAGTTCAGCTAAAATAGATCAGCTTCAACTCCTAAAATATATTTTAGTATATTGAACAACTTCAAATTTCAAACTATATATATTTGAAATAATACCTTACCCTAGTATACCCAGGATTAAAATTGTCTCATATTTATTTCTAATTATGTCACTGAACTGCTACTGTTTTCTGGACTGCAAAGAAATGATTTATTCATCATAGTGTGACACAGTTATGTATGATTGATTGGTATGAAATAGAAAGGGACTTTGTCCTCAGCAAAACGTAGAACAGGGGCTGTCCAGTATACGTTGTCTGTTCTAGCAGCTGAATTACTGCTTGCCCATCTGGTAAAATTCAATAGATTTTTTTCACAACATAATTCACAGCATAATTACCACTCTATAATACATTATCAATGCCAATTGACTCTTTTCTAGATTCCATTCAAAAATACAATGACTTCAAACTTACGTTAGACATTCTGAATCTCACCAAGATTAATCAAGTTCTAAGAAAAAAACAGGCAGGCAGAGAACTCTAATTTTTTTTCTTTTATGGAAAAAAACAGCACTATTGACAAAACAATGATAGTATAGAAACCCTCCCATCATACATACCTTAAACCTTTCCTTTTCTTTGTCTTTTCCTCCCATTTCAGGAAGAAAGAAATTTTTAGTCCAGTGGTCATGTTCCATGATTTTGTTACTGTTTTTATCCTAGCCAAATAGCTCCATTAATCAGCAGGGGGGGAATAAAAACAGGCAGCAAACTATCTATATAATCCAATATTATCCCCAGTGGAGAGCTGAAAATTAGAAAGTTGCTTCTGAAAGAACTTTGGTTTCATTAAAGAACTATGGTGGCATGCCAGGAATCCCAGGGCAGATATCAGTATTACTTTGGGTTAGTTTTCACTTTGGTTATAACTAAGTATGTGATAAATTCAAAGAATTTACTTAAAGAATGTGCATTCATTTTAAAATTGCCTTCCTTCCAGAGTCATTAAATTTAGCTTGAGACATATTTTTACCTAGAAAATTGCAGTTAATTTTCCTAAGACTTTTATGACTTACAAATTCTTTTTAAAAATCTAGACCTTATAATACTGCTGGTATGCTACACTGATAACACAATTTAGCTTTGTATACTGTGATTTTTATTGACTGTTGTATTTCTTTTGCTTCAGAGAACCTGTTCTTTTGATTAAATTGATTCAAGCAGTCCTAGTTATTTTGATTGGTATTACTTAGGTTGTGTTTTGTATTACTCTACTATGAAGTGTCAAAATAATCATTCATTTGATTATAAAAAATAATTTAAATCTTAAAATATTCACTTAAAAAGCATTTTTGATATAATGAAAACACTGAACCCTTGGGTTTTCTTCTTAAATTAAATTCATATGAATCCTGATTGTATTACTGAATATGCCATCTACATATTCTGTATGGTGCACATGTGAAAGAACAGTAGCATCAGAAATAGTTTATTCTGCATATATGGCATTGTGTGTAAGTAGTAAAAATGGGTGGTAATCTTAGTTCACATTAATACTTTAGCTACAAAACCAATAATGAAAAACATTATTGGCAAGCAAAAAAGGCTTTATGTACAAATTCACTCTGCATGTTAATAATATGAGATACATACAATAATAAATATTCACAAGACACAGAATATGAGGAGACAAATAGACTCAAATAAGACAGAATTACAGTCAGGAGCAGTCCCAACAACTATTTTCCACTCTATATTTGTATATAAAATAGATTGCAATTCACTGGAAGAATTATTTTTTTCTTCTTAAGCATTTAAATATTTAAAAAATAAAAATAAGACTCACTTCTGAAAATGCAAATTACTTAAACAGATGGCAATTGCTACACACCCCAAAGGAGAATTTTAAGTTTGCTTAATTTTTCAAAAATAAGGATGTAAAACAACACATTCATAAAAATCTGGAAAAATAAGGCTTTCTCTGAAACTAGAATTTAAAAATTCTACCTTAACATAAGTGGATCTAAGGCAGCTGTGAACACTTCATATTTAACATTTAACTAATGAAAGCCCAACCACAAAATAAGGATTCTAACATCAGCAGAGGATATTTTAAAATATATGTTTTGTTTCCTTCCTTTACCTAAGCTAAAATAAGGTCTTTTTGAACAGTTTCAATACTATTAGGCACTAGTGAAAATATACCTTTCTATCTAGTTAAGAGTACTAACAGAGGAAAAAAAAATGATGTCGGAATTTTGGTGGCAATACTAAGTTTGACCTGACCATAAGTACAGTTTTCAATTATAATTTTTCATGCCACCTGCAAAAATGAATCCTAATGGCCATAAGGAGATTAAGTACCTCCCCTAGTAGATAACTTATTTTCATTTTAACCAGTATTGGCATTGGGAAGAAAACTGGTAAGCACAAATTGCTGGAAAACAGCTGCCGATGCCCTAGACTTTAACTCCAAAAACACACAGAGAAAAATGGAGAAAACTGGCTTTTACAGATGAAAGGCCTCAGAGGACCTCTGTCAACAAACTACTTCTGACTGGAGAAGGATTAAAATGAAGTAAGCACCTTTGTAGGTAAAAATGGTACCAAAAAATGAGTCAACAATCTGAGCATTTCTTTCTGTTTGTGTTTGACTAAGCCTGAGGTAATCTACAATACACAGTGAAAAATATAGATCAGCTTAAGAGTCAGAGGAATATAAGCCTGGGAAAACAATATCTACTGCTCCCTTCTCTCCATTTAGAAACAAAATCATACCATATAAAACTTTTAGAGTTATAGTGAGCAACAAGACAGAAACATTATTATTGTGATGTGCCAATAAACTAAATGTAGATATCAACATCTCTGAATATTCTGGACCTCATGTTTTCCACAAGAATCTGTTGTAATGGGAACCATTCATGTATCACAATTTAACTCTAAGATGCTTTGATCAAGTCTCAGATGGATCATTAATTTTTGAAAAGTTGTTTTTCTGAAGATTTTTCTGTGCCAATGTCTGAAAAGTAAATATATAATAAATATCCATAAGGAAAATTCTGGTTTTTTGTGGTGCTAAGGATAGAACCCAGGGCCTTGTACATTCTAGGCAAACATCCCACACTCTACCACTGAACTACATCTCTAGTCCAAACTAAATTCTTAATAAAGGAATTACACAAAATTTATCTAAATTTAGCCCAGAAATAACTCCGGCATTTCTGAGTTACATGTTTTGTTTTTTTTTTGAGTTACATGTTTAATGTTTTACACAAAATATAAATCTAAACATAACTTAATTGGAATGTTTTTTGAACAAGAAAATGTTTAAAGAATACACATAAAATAAAATGTAATATATTAAACTAAAATTATATTTTAACATACTTTATGTATGTCTTGTATTAAAATAGAGTATGGAAAATAGTGTATTAATTTTATAAAACCAAAGTAAGCAGTAATTTAAAGTACACCCACACAATCTGAAAATAATTTTCAAATAATTGAATCTAAAGTTTCTGAGATCATAAAAGTCTGTAATAAGAAAGTTTTAGCATTAAATATAATAAAAGTATAATTTATCACTATCAAAAACAAAAAGCTTTTAAGCATTATGATAGTTAAACTCATTCAGTGAATTAATCCTCTAATAACAGAACAGTTTCAGTCAAGGAAATGTTATAAGGTCAGATTCAAATTTTTTAAACTTAGTTTGAAATTGTAAATATTCTCTTTGACTATAACTTGCTTTATGTAGCACCTAACTCTCCAGGTACTCAAAACATTTCACGGATTTATATCCTGACTTTAGTTTTATTCATTGTTGCTTTTTGGGTTTTGCAGAGGAGCAAAGAACTGGTTCAAGAATATAATTTAGTAAAATCATCCTTACCAGAAGAAGTGATAGCTTACCATCTCCAAAAATTCTATTTCTGTTTGGAGAGTTTCATAAACACTTTCCATGTCATCTTCCTTATAAAGTTCTAATTCTTTCTTAAGTCTGTTTTAAAAGAAAATTTCATACTATTATTTGAACAATTAACTCTTATAATAATTTTTATTACACAGAGAGGCAGGTTTGTAGCTCCAAAAATCAGAACTTAAAGTCTAAACTAAAAAAATTAGAATTTTAATTCTCTATTGTTCTATAAGGACTATATGAAAATTTGAGGGGGAAAAAATCCTATAAAGACAATAAAGTAGACAATAAATAACAGATATTTAATAATTTTGTGGTAATTCCAGTTTAATGAAAAAATATAATTCCTTCTTTAAAGACTTCTGATTTAGTCTTGGCCACTCACAAGCTAAATAAGCTTGGTTAAATCATTTAGCATCTTTAAATCTCACCTGGATATTTTTTAAGTAAAAGAAATGACCCCTGACATTTCTACTTGCTCTAAAACTAAAAGATAACTAACTTTATAATATAGATACAAAATTAAAATACATTCTTAAATTTGAGAGGTAGAATTCAACATTAATCTTTCTTTTTCTCAATTAAGTAATCTTTTATATAATTTGAATTTTTAAAAATGCTTTTTAAACTTGTATTTAATGTGGATAATAGTGAAGAAACCATTTTCCTTTTCTAGCATTAAGACTAACATTTCTTCCAAAAAGGAAAGCATAATTAAAAACTGAGCTGTAACTGGAGAGGTAGAGAGCTAGGATCTGAAACTGGGTAAGTAGGAGTGTGAAGCAGCCCTAAGGGCAGATGCTATAAGCAACACTGTTCTCACAAACCTAAACAACTCTTGGGCTAGTCATAAGGTGAAAAGAATGGATCATATTGGACCTTTGCTGATCCCTGACTGTCAAAGGAAGGAATTTTACATCAGCAATATTCCCTGGATACCAGGAATAGTATAAGAAAATTCTCTCTAAAGGAAACCTTAACATATTTAGACCAAAGGCCTTCTAAATATTGAGAACAAAGAATGAGCTTATAATAATATAGCACCAAGCACCCAACTAGGAAATACAGTATAAGTCACCAGAGACAAGAAATAATTCATTGTACAACACAAAGGAAAATGGACACAAAGGAAATAAAACCCTTTGAACTTTTAATAATTTCTCATAAAAGATATCCAGTAGCTAATAAAGATATGAATTGGTGATTACTAGTGACTGACAAAATAAAAGGAAAGCATAATGAAATCCCACTGAACAACCACCAGAATATCTAAAATGAAAGTCAATACCAGGTGTGACAGAGATGTGAAGAAACAACAACTTTCAGAATGCTGGCAAAGGAATCACATTCCATTCGTACACCTAAGGTGTATTTTTTTTTAAATAGAAAGTTAAAGTCTCAGAGTCTCATTTGTGTAGGAAAACACTAAATGCATGCCTAAGAGTTGAAAGAGTACTGACTTCTTTTAAATCAATGGCTCTCTCATCATTTGAGTGAGAAGGGTCTTTTGTGTCTTTTGATTTAATGACTGGTCTCTCTAGGTCCCTCAGTTTTCATTACTTGCTTCCTGTTTGACTTTAAAGGTTAAAGCCCTACCACCTTGCCTACTTCTCACAAGGAACTATAGCTGTATAGAAAAAGGTTTTGTTTTGTAATGGAGAAAGGTTTTAAAGATCCATACTATGAACAAAAAGCAAAAATGCATTTAAAGACCAATAACCCCAAAATAACATGAATTGATTTAGAGTATAACAAACAGAGAAAACAGTCAACTTCCGTTCTTAAAGCAAGTATGACCGATAAAGATAATGCACACACACACATCCATCTATAAATACCAATGCAAAAATTATAAACAAAATATTGGCAAAAATAAGACAATACCACATTAAGTAAATGATATTCTATGATCAATTAAAATTTATTTCAGGAATGAATGCGTGGTTCAATATTACAAACTCATAATGTAACTGACCATACTAACATTTCCAAGGAGAAAAATAATATGATTATTTCCAGAGGGGCTGAAACCTTTGAGATGTTAAAAATGTGTCCCCAATAAACATTCTCAATAAAAATCAGAACTAATGGATACTTTTATATAATAAAAAAATGTCAGTCTTGAGGTAGCACCTTAGTTTCTAGAGGCAATCTTCTTAAGGTCAGGAATAAGGAAGCTCGTTGCCCCTATTACTTTTTGATATTTTGTTGGAGTAATTTGCCATCAAAATTAGTCTACAGAACATAACTAGAGACATAAGAATTTGAAAGAAGAAATAAAGCTACTTTAATTTCAGGTGATATAACAACATACCTGAAGAATCGACGAAACAATAAAAAAATTTATTAAGGTGGCAAGATATAAGATTAGCATAGAAACATAGTCTATTATACCAATAACTAACAAGACTTTTTATTTGACAGGATATCATAAAAATATCAATTATTCCAAGTTAAATCAACTGAATATGACCCTAATTAAAAATGCCAGTAAGTTTTCCTCCCAAGGAGTAGACAAATTGATCCTAATGTTGATATGAAAAAAATAAACATTCAAGGAAAGCTCTTGAATGCCTGTCTTTTAAGGAAAGCACTGAAAAAGAAAAGGGCAATGGCTAGCCTTATCAGATATTAAAACATACTATTAATCTTTGACAATGGAAACAATGTAGTACTGGTATATAAATACAGCAGTGGAGCACAGAGGACAGACATATATCCAAGTATAAATAGTTGTACTAATACTGAACAACAATATAAAAAGAAAAGTCAATTTCACTCATAAATGTAAATTTAAAAATATTAAAATATCAGAAAAACAGCAATTACAAATATACACCATGATCAAGTTGAGTTATTCCAGGAATATAATAAGGATAGCTTAATGTTTACATATTTATAAATGTCATTTACTATACTAATAGATTAAAGAAGGAAAATACACATGTCTGTCTCAAAATATGCAGAAAAAAATCATTTGATAAAATCAAATACCCACTCATGACTTAAAAGAAATCCGTAGCAACTCTACAGGATAAAAAAATCTAAGTTCTTTAACAGATACATTGCAAATTTTTTTTAAAAAGGAAGAAGTAGGTTCTAGATTAAAATAGATTTAGAAGGCATAACCAGCCAACTGATATATGCAGACATTATTTAAAACCTAAGTTAGATAAACTGAAAAATAAATGAAATTTATGGATAATTGGAAATTTGAACACTGACTGGAGATTTTATGGTATCAGTTAATTACTATTAATTATTCTGTGTATGATAATGGATTCTCATTTTCTTCAAGTTCTTTTTAAGAAGATATATAATATAAAAGGATATCTATGATTCAGTTCAAAGTAATATGGGAGAAAGGTGAGCAGAGACAGATTAGACAAGACTGACTATAGATTGTGAATTGTTAAATTGAGTGATCATTACATTTGGTTCATTATATTGTTCTTTTTACTTTTTTATGTGTATTAAAACATAGATATTTAAAAATAGAGGACTTAGTTTGGATAGTGGCCATATAGTCAACATCTAAAATTCTCTTATATTTCTATTTACAAGCAATGAACAATTGAAACACATGATTTTTTAAAAGTACCATTTACAATAGTACCTAAGACTACAAGCTACCTAAAAATAAAATTTACTAATTTTCCAAATTTACCAAAATATAATATTTATAAAAAGAATGGATAAAGAAATAAAGTCCTATAAATGTGAAGTTCATTGTGCTCTGAGCTTTTAAGAATTTAATAGTAAATTGGTAAATTTACCAAACAAAATTTAGTAAAGATATGAAAGATTGACAAACAAAAATTTAAAGTATATTAAAAAAAATTAATCAATAGAGGTATTCTAAGTTCTGAGACAGACCTCATTATAATAATTGTATAAATTCTTCCAAAATGAACTGTAGAATGAGTGGAATTACTACAATCAAAATCACAGATTTGCAGATTTTAAAATGTATGGAAAAAAAGCAAAGGGCTAAGAATAACCAAGACACTCTTGGTGAAGACAAAATAAGGTGTAGGAGATGCCCTACTTTATACCAACTCATTATAAAATAGCAGTAATTAAGTTGTTATTATTGTATAGTATGCATTTAATAGTAATTACAAGTCTTGCATAGAAATAAACTAACTGACCAAAGAAACAGAATAGAAAGTCCTGAAACAGACCCATGGCTATATATAATATAGATAGGTAAATGATTGGTTAGTTGGTAGGGAGGTAGATAGAATAGATACATAGACAGGGGGTTTATAGGTGTTCAGAAAAATCTTGAGGGTAAAATAAGTGTTCTTTCTCCTAAATGAGAATAATACAATGAATAACTTTGTGCCATGAATTTAAAAACTTACATGAAAAAAAAAATTTTTTTTGGTACTGGGTTTCAAATTCAGGACCTTGAGCATGCTAGGCAGGCAGCGGCACCACTGAGCTAAATCCCTGGCCTGAAATAAATAATTTTTAAGAAAAATATAACTGCAAATTCATTCTAAAAGAAGCAGAAAGACTACTGTAACTTAAGAAAAATCAAATAGCTGGCCCAAAATTTCCTACAAAGAAAACACTATGGCAACAAAATACCAATATACATAGATTAGAAAAAAAATTCTGAAAATAAAATATTGAGGATGAAGACTAACTGGACATTTTATAATGTATTAATGGGAGTATAATTTGGTTTAATCACTTGGAAAATAGCTTGTCTTTATCTTGAAGTTCAACATTCAGGTGCCCAACACTCTCCAATTCCAACAGACACAGAGAAACTCCTGTATATATGCACTAGTGCACACACTTCAACTGCTGTGATAGCAAAAACCTGGAAGCATTACAAATGGCCATTGAAAACAAAAAAAAATTGTAGTATATACGTTTGTCTATAGTCACAAACATGGGTTAATTTTTAGAAACAATGTTGAATAAAGAACATGTCCCAGACAGTACAGTACTATTTTTACTTAATTAAAAAGAAATAAATATAGTGAACTGACTATTTGGGCTTGCATATAGATGGGGGTATATAAAAATATATGACATAAATTTAAATAAATCATATAATATAATAA